TTAAATTGTTATAACATTAATAAACTATTATCATTATATTTTCTTTCATCCTCTTTTTTTTCGCATCAATTTTAGGTCTGGATAGAGGAGCAGATGACTATTTAATAAAACCATTTTCTGCTCAAGAACTAATTACTCGTATTCGCTCTAATATTAATCTCTCACTTATTCGTCAAAAAATAATATTTCAACAATGTAAACAAGAAGAAACAAAACAATTATTACTTTCAATGTCGAATAAGATTATTTTCAAATTAAATCTTGATGAAACATTTCAATACGTTGCTAAAGAACTTCATCATATATTACAATGTGAAAGTATATCTATTATTTCAAATCAAAAATCTGGATCTAATAGAACAGTTGCTTTATATAAAAATTTGGAAACATCGATAACTAGTCCATTCACTGACATTGGTGATAACTATAAAAGTAAATTACCAACAATCACTAACTTGCAAGAATTTTTAAAAAATAATCCAGGAATAGATGTTTCTTTAAATTCATATTGTGATGATATTGGCAAAAATGTATCTATATTATCTGCAGAAATAAGGATAAATAATGGTTTTTGGGGATGGATAAAAGCATATAGACCTTCAAATTCTATTTGGCATATTTCTGAAATTGAGTTACTACAACAAATAACAAATCAAATAAGTTTGGCCATTGCTTATTCAAAATTATTAGAAGAGAATACAGAAAAAGAAATTCAAATAAAAGCTACTGAAGCTGCAAGTATTGCTAAAAGTCAAATATTAGCAAATACTTCTCATGGTATGTTATTATCATTGTGTAAAATAGCTAAAATCTTCAACTTGCTAAATAATTTAATTTTATTCTTATTATAGAATTACGAACGCCACTGACTGCAATAATAGGCATTCTTTCTTCCTTTGAGGGCACGTTCTCCACTGAACAAAAAGATATGATTAATATCATGTCACGTGCATCTGATATCGTGTTATCCACAATAAATGATATTCTTGACGCAGCAAAATTAGAAGCACAAAAGATCATTTTTATAAATAGAACATTTAATTTATTAGAATTATTTGAAAGTACAATTGAAAAATTTGGAAAAAAGGCCGGGGATAAAAAGATTGACCTAATTTTAAATTGTGAGATAGATGTATTGTCAGGTTATGTTAAGAGCGATCCTGAAAGGTGAGTATATTAATGCATTTTGTATGAAATTATAAAAGATTGTAATTGATTTATCTCCTATGTATTTAAAATAGGCTAGAACAAGTTTTATCCCATTTATTATCGAATTCGTAACTATACATTTTTCATTATTTTTTTATAACATATTACACATGCAACATAAGTAAAAATTTTGTTCGTAATTTTTTTAGAGTCAAATTTACTGATAAAGGTGAAATAATGCTAAAAGTTTCGATGCAATCACGAGATGTTATTGATGAAAACGAAGAGAATCCAACTTACGGTCAAATACTTACAAAAGAAAATCTTTTGATTGAATTAGACGATACTGGTATTGGGTAAGCCATTTAGAATTATAGACTTTATATTTTGATTAATACTTATTTTAATTGATGTTTAAAAAAATAGTATGGATCCAACATATGTACAACATGCTTGGAAAAGCTTTTCACAAGGTGACATGTCAGTAACTAGAAAACAAGATGGTACAGGATTGGGTCTTCCGATTTGTAAAAGTCTGGTAGAAATTAATGGGGGAAAAATTGGAGTAGAAAGCCAGTTAGGAAAAGGGAGCAAATTTTGGTTCACATGGAATGTAGAGTTATTATCAATGACACCTTCGTTATTAAAGTCACAATTTAATGATATAAATTATATTATGAAACAAAAACGAATATTAATAATTCACCCAGTTGAAAATGTGAGAAATGCAATTTTGAGATATCTTAATACGATTGAAAAAGTTGATGCATTTGATACCTTTGACAAAGGTGTTATGGCAGCAAAAACTTATACAGAACTATATGGTAGACCCGCTTACGATATAGTATTCATTAGCCTTTATGAACATAATGAAGCAGAGGTTATGAAAGCAGTATTTGAACTAAGAGGATTAAAACTAAATAATAATAATTTAGCAATAATCTTTATAGCATTCCCAGGTGATGAAGGAAATAAGCTAGCAGGAAAACTAATTAGAAAAACCAAGGGAATGACTTCTGTTATTTATACTCCAATTACATGGACGAAGTTAATTAGTCAATTTATTAAGTAGGTTCATTTTTATTAACGTTAAGTTCATTAAAAACATTCTCTTTTTGCATCTATTGCTAAAATATTCACAATTAATTATATTCAGCCAATTCAATGTCAATTTGAAGCCGCACGAGTAATATGTGCAATAAGTCTTTCAATTTCAAAACATACCTATAGGAAATATATAATATTTTGAAAGCTAAAGGGTCTAAACTGATTGGTGAAATTAATATAAAAGCTTCATAACATATTAGGAATTGGAACTGCTTAAAATTTTACTTACCCATTTGATTTGATTCATTTAGTGTTAACACCATGCTCAATAATTTTATCCAATAGCCACCTTAATCTGGCTCAGAATTATGGACAATTTTTATGCAGTAAAACGAGTTAAACCTTTTTTTGTCAATTTGGTTAAATTTAAAATTGGGTTCTCAATAATATGCTTTGAAAAATTTATAATGTAACTTTACAAAAAAAGTTTACAAAATATGTTTATAATAACTATAGTTAATTTCAATAGCTAGTATTAAAAAAAAAACGGTTTTTTTGGCTTATTTGTTTATTTAGTGGTCAAAATTTTCAAATTTTAGGTTATTTCATAAAGGCAACTTCTATTTGTACACGGGTGTATGTACAGTACACGGGCAATATAGATATCTCAAAACTTTAATTATGAAATCACCTTCTGGTCGCTAACAAAAAAAAATTCCTTGCGAAATATTGATATAAACTAAACCTTGCTCAACCCCAAGCCTCCTTTCCCTAACCATAAGCGAGGGTTTAATTTTTCATTCGTAAAAATTGTAAAATTGTCTTGATTAGTATATTACATGAATATATAATTCAATAAAATATACTCGTGTATAAACACTATATGTAAACTAATAAATTTCTATAAAAAAAATTTGTACATATGTACTAGTACGAAATTTTTTGATTTGACTAATTTTTTTCTTACAAAATATATACGTATTATAACGATTTCTACACGTTGTTACGACTAGGGAGAGCTTTTATATATCCAGGCCAATTTTTTTTTTTTTTACCTCCCTCCGCATCTCGAAGGTCCTTAGACACCTTCGGATCTCTCACATCTCTCAAAGGCC